ACAGTGCAGAACGGACAACTAATGTAAAGTGCACTAAAATAAAATAATTACTGTAAATAATGACAACAAGCTTTTCCACTTATTATCGACAATTCTTGTTGTTATTTTTATAAAATTTTAATTTTGTGTTATTTTTTAATGTTCACTCAATCACTACACGAAATTACGATGCCTCTTGACTCTTAAAAAGTTTTCTATTCAAGTACTGTGCAATAGTGCTACTTTACTGAGAGAATGGTTTGAGATAGTGTAGTACTTTTTCGTATCTTTTGCAGTTTCGCCAACATCGATTTACTGCACTTTTTGCTAACTTCCGGAAACATACTACGGAAATGCAACACTGTTTGTATTTCAATTATATATAACGTTACCTATTTTAAGTTAAATTTAAAGCTTTTTTTTTGGTTGTAATTCGTTTATTTTAATCACCAACAAAATTATTTTATTTTAAAGTGTAAACTGCGTTTTGAGTTATTTATTAATTTATATATATTTAAAGTTTAATTAATTTCGCCGAAGAAGCTACGCTTTCATATAATGACAAAGAAGCTATTCTTTAAAATTTAGAGGGTTTCGAATGGCAAAGAAAGAAAGGATAAACACATAAATTTAGTTAATTTATTGAAATTATATATTTATATATTTTTATTTATAATCTTTTATGTATTTATATGGTATTTCATAATAATTATTTGATAGTTATCTTCAGAAATTTTTTATTAATTTACCAGGAATTATTTATTAATTTATCAGGAAATTTATTATTTGAATTTATTAATTCATCGCTTTATTGATATATTAGTGTATTTTTAAACATATAAGGGAATATTTATATATATATATATATATATATATATAAAAATATATGTATTTTATTTTTTTTAACTTGCATATTAAAAAATTATTATTATTTATTTTTTATTTATCTGAATCTTGATTTTTTATTCACTTAAAAGTAAAAACTTCAAAAGTTGTTAATTATTTTTCTTATTAATTGTTATTTTATTAGAATATTTTTTAAAACTTCTAATTGATACGAAATATTTATTTATATATTTCTTATGTAAATGTTGTATTTGTTATTATATGCATTATTATATATTACATATTTATTTATTTGTTTATATGTTATATTTTGTTTTAAGTTATAGTAATCTATATAAAAATTTTTAATTACATGAATGTATTTAGTTATTATTAATTTTAATAAACCGCAAATTTAATTTTTTTTTTTTAATTAAATTTTTTTGTTATAAAGAATTACATATCAGCTATTAATTTATTTAAACTTTTTTTTTTTAAATTCATAATTTTTATTTAGCTATTTTGTAAAGATAAAATTTGTAATATTTTTTTGATTCTTTTAATTTTATGATCTTTTATATATATTTTTTTGTACTATTTTTTATTTTTTTGATTTTATTAACCTTTATATCGTAATCCATTTATTAAAATGTTTTTATTTATATATATATTTCATATATATATTTTATGTTTTTATTTTTTTTATTTAAATAAAATTTAAATTTATTAATAAATTCACTATATATTAATTTTTGTTTTATTATTAATTTATACACTAATTTATTATTGATAAACTGTTTTATATATTTCAATGTATTATTTTAATATTTAAGAAATTAATTAATTAATTTTTGTTTATATACTATACTAGTTTTGAATTTATGTAAACATAATTTTTTTTCTTAATTTATTTATATTATACATGTATTTTGTTCACTAGTTTCATTTTGTATTTGTTTATTTATATATTTTTCTCAAAGAGTGCATTTATTTACTTCCACACTTAAATGTTATTGTTATTTATTTATTAAAATTAAATAATTGAATTTAATATAGTTCAATAATTTTTTATTAATTATTAACAATTTTTTATTTATTTATTCTTGCAATTAATTTTTATTTATTAACAATTTTATAATCACTTATTATTACTTGTTTTGCGTTATTGCTGTATATTTTCATATACTTATTTAATTTTTTTAATTTATAATTTATTTATGTTATCATTTGTATTTGTTTATTTACTTTTTGTATACAGTTCACCATAACTTACAGTTATATATATATATATATATATATATATATATATATATTATATATATATATATATATATATATAGCATATATATATATAATATATATATATATATATATATATATGTTTATTATATTATATATGTATATATGTTTATTATATTATACATGTTTTTTATTTAGTTTTTGGTTATGTTTCTATTTATATATATATATAGAATAGAATATACTCGTAGATTCTTTAACAAGTTAATATCAAAGTAAAGCAGAGTTTTCTTAAATGTTAATAACTATGTATATTTAGTGAAAATTGTTTTTGTGACATAGTCTTAAAAACCTTTGCATATTTTCGAATAGTCTCGAATCAAAGTGGCGATTTAAATTCTTATTCTTACATAAAATTTTTTTGGATGGATAATACGTTTTAAATTCATTTTTTTTAATAATAAACTGTAATAAAAATATGTATTATAACAATGTGAAATATAACATAACATTTTCCTCAACGAATTTGGTTTTATGCTTCGATCGATTTAAAGCGTTTTCAACGGAGAGGTAATTTTAGTTTCGGGAATAGAAAAAGTTACATGGGGTCGGTCGAATATGATAAATCTGGTGGTATTGTAAAATTATTTAAAAAGTTATGGATTAGATTAGCTATTAAGACCTTTTTAAGAAAATCTTAAAAACGTCGATATTTCAAATGGAACTTCTTTTACATATGTGTATTGATTGGGAACTAAATTTATTCGATAAACTTTAATCGAAGAATTAAATTTATTTTAATTTGATATTTTTTCAAAGTACTTAAAATACTATTATGTATCTATTATATATAAAGATATTAAAAATATTTTTATTGTTCTTTTTTTATATTGGTTTATTGGTTTATATTATTATTATTAATATTAATATTATACCTTATTATTTTATTCACAATATTATATGAGTTTTATTATATCATTATACCATTAATTGTTTAGTTTTTTTTTTTTTGATAAACAACTAACAATTAAATAATAAAATAAGTAAGGTAATTAAAAATTAATATTACTGTACTAATCTTGGTACAATAATATTTTTATTAATTTCTTATTTTATTTTTTTTTATTGTTAATATTTTTTTTTATTATTAAATGATTGAAAAGGTAATATATTTTATTAGGTTTTTATAACTTTGCGTTTTAGAAAGTTATTTTTGTTGTAATTTTAATTATCTACAATTTGAAATTTTCAATACTGCACATATTTTCAATTTTATGCAATTTATAGACAATTAAGCTGTATATCGTTATTTTACCATATTTTTAAAATTTTATTAAATAACAATTAGTTTCCTAAATTTTTTTTTTTTATTTATAAATTTGAATTGAATTATTTCAAAAAAAAAAAATATTAAAAATAAAATTTGGGTTTTAATTTAATAAACTTGTTCAGTCTAAAGTCTATTCGAATATATAAATTAAAAAAAAGAACTCAACTTAACGAAACCTACAAATATCAATATAATCAAGATTTAAAAATTTTTCTTTTCAATCTTTTTTTCGTTCTCCTCTTTTTATTCTATTTTATTATATATATTTAATTTTTTTTTTAAATTTTTAACGTTACTATTTTCATTATTAATTTTTTTTTATTATTAGTTTTATTATTATTATAATAATTATTCGACAGTATTATTAATATGATCACGTTCCTTTTTCAGCAACTTTTGTCTTTTTTATATTAATTATATATAATAAAACAAAAGAATTATTATTATACATTATTCATTGTTATATCATTATTCATTTTATACTGGTTTCATGAATATAAAAATTGTATTAAAATTAAAATGATTTAATAATTAATTAAAACTTAAATATTAGTATCTATAAGATACTAATTAAATACTTATCTTTGCAATTTTTTTTTTTATAAACCTTTGAATTTTCTAATACTAATTTTATAAAATAATATACAACAATATATTTTTAGAATTATGTACATAAATTACTAAACTTTTTATTTATCTTTCTATAAAACTTATATTTGTAATTTAAATTTTTTTAAGTTGAAAGGTGGTAAAAGCTAATAGAGCTTATATGGAAGTTGATGTAGGCAGTTAATAAATTTTAAATAACTTTAATGGTTATTGAATGCATATTTGAATAAAAGATTTCAAATTAAGTAATGATTTACTAGAAGGTGTTTTCAAGGACTTTAAAAAATTAAGTTGAAGTCGTTGCCTTTAAGAAAAGAGCGTATCTATTGAAAATTAATAATTATTAGTAGTAACATACACTCTACAAACTTGACGTTATTAACAATTAGTAAATTAATAACCAGATATGGAGTAATTAATGCAATTATTATTTCATTTGAATGCAATTTTCATTTAAATATTTAAATTAAAAAATGTTAGATGGATGACCTTGCTTTTATTTTAAAATCAAAGTCAGTAAATGTATAATTTTGTTATTTTCGTCTATTTTTTTAATGAATTTTTGAAAAACTTATTTATATGGAAAAAACATAAAGAGGTTTTTTCGAACAGTAGTGAAATACAACAACAAAAATTTTATTTTTTATATTATTTTAATTAATTGAATTTTTGCTGACGAAATAAAAAATAAAAAAATATAAATATAAATATATTAAATCTCTTGATTATTTTTTATTTTAATAATTATGAAATTCTATATGTATATTTAAGCTTTATTTTAATTATTATATATATATATATACATAAGCTTAATTTTTTCTTTTAAGCAATAGTAAATAATCTCTCTATATATACATATAATTTATAATATATGTTTTTAATTACTTTAATATGTATTTTTATAAAGTCATATTTTTTTAAAATATCTAATATAAGAATAAAAATAATTTCAGTTATTTTACTTAAACTTTTTATAAGATATGTTTATAATATTTTTAAAAGATATATCACTGCTTACCTGTTGTAACTGCAACAGCTAAAACGGCAAAAACTACAAATAGTTTTGCCATATTATTTTTTTATTATATAAATTTTTACTAATTTAAGAAAAAATCACAAAATGTAACTATTTTAAAATGTATACACAAAACTGTTGAAATAAAACTATTTATTTTTTAAATGAAACAAAGTCTGAGATCGGGCAACAGTGCAACCCAGCAAAATTGTCCTTCCGATCAGTTTAAAAGTTTCATTTACACTGTTTCTGCGCACTACAAAAATTTCTCGAACTTCTCGACAAAGTTTTAAAATTTTCTTCTTTTATTACAAAAAATGTATGCACACACCGTTGTGTATTTATACGTGTGGTGAGTTGTGGTAAAGTAGTAGAGCTTTTCGAGCATGAGAGACTCGTAAACGCAAGATCGTTACTTAAAAGTGTTGAAATCCAACGAGCAACTGAGTGGGGAAATTAATGCTTTTGCGCACGCGTATTGCAACTGTGGTGAATTAGTTGTTATTTTCTTTAAAATTGTTTTATATAATTTTTTAAGTGTACTTTTATAACAAAGAAAAAAAAGGAAACCGTCTAAAATTGCTGACGTTTTGCTAACCGCACGTTGTATTTACAAAATTCATGCCACCGCGGTTCTTCAGTGCACGTAAGAGAGAGAGTGGCCTAAAGCGACCCGCTTTTATATTGCACTGCTTTTGCAAGTGCGACTTAAAAAATGCTTTCATGTTGAGTTCGAGCAATAACTTTAAATAGTAGGGGTAAGCATATTGGAACGTAATTTCGAGGAGAATTGGTGTGGTGAATTTAACTTACACTTTTTAATTAGTTGCTCATCAACTGCACCCACAGTTGGATTTTTATGCAAATTGCCTTTATGACAGAGTTGAAGTTGAAGCCAATTTAAAGGTTGCTATGCGAAAAAAACGCAAATATCAATTTATGTGTATGTAATGAAAGGTTGGAAATAAATAAATAAATTAATTATTGATTAGTTAAATAAATAAGAAATTGTTTATGGAGTAGTCGTAAAGGTAAAGGTTTAAAGATGCATAAATATAAAAGTGAAATGGCAACCATTGTTGCTGTTTTTGCAGAGCTTTTTCTTTATTTTAATGTTAGGCTTCATTTTTTTTAATATTAAATTTAAAAATATAAATTCATAGGGTGTGGGTATATATACGTACATATTACAAATAATATATGTATTGTACTTGTATTTCTACTTATGTAAAATTAATAAACAACTCTGGTTGGTAAATATATTTACTAATTCTTGAAAATGCTATCGCTCCAATAACACTCTAGATTTTACTAGAATGTTAACGCGAAAATTCTATACAACCAAATAATAAATTTAGTTGTATTGATTATATTTTGTAAATGCACCAGTCAACGCTGACTAGCTTGAGACATAGTGTAAATAGAGTTTTTAGAAACATTTATAAAGTTTTCTGTGAGAGGAGTATTACATACTCCATATATGGGATGAATGAACTTTAACTTTCGACCTTAAGACTTGACTTTTAAAATTGGTTCAAAAACTTAAGCATCGAATTAAATAAAAATCGAATCGTAATGTAAAACAAACGACTGATCTACTGAATATGTATAACGAAAACAATGATTCAACTATACAACAACTATACTGTCAAAAAAACAGAGAACCAGAAAAAAGCAAAGGTTCAATAGAATAAAGTTCTTATTGCTCAAGTGCACATACAAATACAAATAACTGCTGAATATCATCTTTATTAATAACAAAAAGTTCTCTTTCAATTGAAAACAACAACTTGTAAATAAACAACAAAAAGATCGCAATAAAGTTTTGATATTCATAAAGCCACAAAAAATCATAACAGGCGATAGTTCCTTTTCCGATAGATAATTTTCGTTAATGTTTTCGAATGACGTTCTATACTAAAGACAAATTTTGATTATATTCTGCGGAATATTAGAGAAAAGTCTTCACGTCATAATACAAAATGCGCACCAATCTGTAAATTTAGAGAGACAACGTTCAAGACTTCACATCGTTTGTACAATGATCACCACGTCCCTCTTCCCAACGCACTTAACATATTGCATTTCGCAAATTACGATGAGCACTAAGAGAACAGAATCAATGCGTTGATATATTAAACAGAGCTGTTTGTCCTGAATGTATTAAGGTAGGTAGGTGGGTGAAGTGGAAGTGGAAATGTGGTGAAGGTCCACATTTTTAGTTTTCATTCTACACTCTTCGTAATTGTGAGTAAAAGGTTGGGTATATTAAAACCAGCCGAATTCTTTGAGAAATACATGTATATGACCAATACTAATATTGAAAATAGGTATAAATTTATCACAGCTTAAAATTTTTGCATAGTATAGTATAACTTGCTTTCCGACCTATTTAAACCTATAAATTACGTTAAGGGCACTTTAAATTGAAAATTGAAACTTTGACTTATTGTTATCATCAACATAATGAAATAATTTTTTTTATGTATCATATGACAAACAATTTATTTAATTTATTTGTGAAAAATTATAATTGCATTGTCACTTTGCCAAATTTACATTATTTTTCATTTTATTTAGCCTCTTTCTTTATGTGTATTCTTATATGGATTCTGTTTCATATGATATACAAAAAATATTAAATTATTAATTTTTAAGTAGAAGTGAACAAATGATATGTCTTCGACACATTTGACTCTAAATGACGTTAGATCTGTGGTGTAGCACTTAATTTTGAATTCAGGTTCAACACTTTGCAGTCTAAATATTATAATACTCTTATCTCATTATATGTCATTTTCGATTAATAAATCTGGTGTAATATTTTTAATCGAGACTCACTTTTAATGAAATTTTCATTTTCAATTAGTAAACAAAATTTTCAATTTTCAATCTGTATAACACTCGAGATTAATGTATAACACTCGAGATTAATTCATAATACTCGAGATTAATGTATAACACTCAACATTTATTTATAACACTCTAGATATTTTGCCAAAGTAGCAAAATTAACCTGATATAAACAGCTGTTTTATATGAAGACAAATTAAGAGTGATTTGAATCGATATATATATGTATAAAAAATATAAATGCCTACTAACAATACTACAAAAATGTTAAATTACTCTAAAAATGTTCGATTGGGCTACAATATTTAACAGATCGAGAGTAAATCTAGATTGAGTCCATATTTACCAATCGAAAACCCCAATAGAGATCATTTAATTCAATTAATATTTATCAAAGACTACCATTTATGATGCTATGAGTAGTTATATGACTTGATTGAAAAATTAATCTGGTATTTCTACATATTTGGGAAAAGGTGGGAAAAATATTAATAAATATTTGAAATATTATTTTGAAATAATTATATTTCAAAAAATTAAAATTAAAGTTAAAATTTTATTTAAATTAAATACAAACCCCATTTATAATTGCTAAATGCTTATTTAAGCATCTTTCCGAAACTCCAATGTATCTCAATATCTCATTATATTTGAAACAATTATATTATGGTATTCGAGTATTTTTAAACTAAATAAATTTTTGAGTATAGATTATAGGCAGCAAATAACCCATCATTATATTGTTGCTTTGTATACTAATTAATTATATTTCTACTAATTAATAAGGAATTCTTTTCAATTTTAATTCCTTATTGTAGTCAAAAGAATTTTTTATAAACAAAACCGCAAGATTATTTATTATTCATTGTTTTTCTTTGATTTCGAATTAGTAATGCGTACCTCGTACAATTTTCACCGAATATGATACTATAATCAAATTCGAAAAAAAAGGTGTTAAAATAATAATTATAAAAATTAGTAATTAAGTTAATTTAATTACAAATATTATATGAATTTCTTACATAAGCAAAGGTCGAAAATTTCATTATAGATCGCATAACTGGTATCTCATCTGCAAGCAAAAGCTGCCAAAAATCTGCATGATTCATATGTTTTCGGATTGCCTTAGTTTTAACACTTGAGGTGCGCCAGCTGTCAAATTTTGATGCAAAATGATTTATTGGAATCGCCCACAGATTTATTTAAGTAATAAAAAAAATTTTTTTCTTAAATTTTTTAATTTGCTTTAATTGCGGGGTTTTGTTGTTATTTAATTTAAATTCCAAAAATTGAAACACCAAAGCAGATTTTATTACTTCTCCGTTCTCCCATCTCTCATCCCCCATCTACCACCTACCATCTCTGAAGTGTCATCTTCGACACTTCGGCCCATTTCGAAAACTTTGCCAACTAACCTTGGTAATAAATCTTGCATTTAAGCCAATTCGCTGGTAACTTAAGTGTGCCATAGTGTTTGACACTTCGTTGTTGTTGTTGTTGCACTTTGGTTGATTTTAATTTTATTTTGATTTAAATTTGATTTGATTAAATTTGTTGTCATTAATTTTCAAGTATTTTTGATTTTGATATGATTTTTTTCTTTGATAATTTCTTAGTTTTTTCTTAGTTTTGACGCCACATTTGGCAAGTTTTAAATTTCATTGAGGTTATTGGGATTTGGATTTTGGATTTTTAAATTTTAATTTTATTTTTTTTTTTATTATTTTTGTAATATAAAAAAAATTAGTTAGTTTTGTTGTCAACCTTGACAAATCAATCTGTTATATTAAGCTAACTTCATATGCATATATTTGTTTTGTTTTCATAATTTTTTAATTGTGCCTATTTGAAAGACACAACAAATTTTGTGTAGTTTAAATGATTTTGAATATCAAATAAAAAAACACAAACAAACAAAATTCAAAAATTAATATTTTCTGCATTGTATTATTGTTTCGAATCGATTTTTAATATTGTCAATGGATTCTTAACAGCTTTGGGTAATTAATAATTCCATTTGAAAACAGATTGAGGAAACATAAATTCAACACTGCAAACATAATTAATTAAACTAATTGTTTCTGTACCCTTCATACTATTGTAAAGAATTAGTATACTAAGTTTGTTATGAAGTTTGTTTAGTGAAAGGTACATAAGATAATAAATAGGTAATCCATTTGCATTGCCACTCAGCATGAAGATACGAATGGAGTTCGTAAAATCTGTCTATCTATCTACCTGTCTGTCTGAATATCAGTAAACTGTTGTTTCAGATTGAATATAATTTTTTACAGACAAGTTAATTTATATAATACAGATAATGTATAATCCGTTTACATTACATCTCAGCATGAAAATATTAATGAAATTTGTAGAATCTGTCTATCTATCTACCTGTCTGTCTGAATATCAGTGAATTACTATTTCAGTTTGAATATAATTTTTACAGACAAGCTAATTCATATAATACAGATAATGTATAATTCATCTACATTACCACTCAGCAGGAAAATATGAATAGAATTTGTAGAATCTGTTTATCTATCTATCTGAATATCAGTAAACTAGTGTTTCACATTGAATATAATTTTTTACAGACAAGCTAATTCTTATAAACAGATAATGTATAATCCATCTACATTACCACTCAGCAACAATATGATTTTATACATTAAAATTGATTTTAAAAATAAATAATGAAAATTTCAACCATTGACCGAGAAGATCAGAGTGTAGAGAATATCTTCTATTCTCTCTAGGGGAGAATAAAAAT